TAAAAATTGAGCAAGATATGGTCTTGGGAAGTTGACAAACCCTCGCTCAAAAATTACAAAAGTGACTTGTGATATTCTTCAACTTTTGATGATTTTCCTTGCACAATTGGATATTGTAATGTAAAGAGAAGTTTTTGTAAATGACGAGAAGAGTATATTGCAAAAAGAACCACTTAAAAATATTTAAAATTGAGAGAATTATACACTTGTGACCATATAATCAAGGACTTGCTAAATTAGGTCAAACCACTTGGATCAACTTTGAATATTTTGAACTTTTCTTGCAAATTAAGGCATGATTAATCACATTAGACCTTGAAATGATGTTATATTGAATAACACTTTATGAAAAGGTTCAATTCTTGATGAAAATTATTGAGGAAGGCATGGAAATAAACACATGAACCTATGAAGTTCCTTGGTGAATTCAACAGCCAACTTTGAGACAATCTTGACCAAATGAGATAGAGAAAGCTCTAAAACCAAATAACTTTGATGCCACAACCATAGACTTTAAGTTCAAGCCTTTAAAATCTATTAAATAGCCAATTGACTGAGGATCATCCTTCAAAACCTTAGCTTCGGAGGTGAGATAGATGTACTTGGCTCAATACCTACAATGTACAAAGCATAGGGAGGAAACATACATTTTTTTATTTTTGTTAAAGGTTAATGAACATAAAATACATATACAAGATACATAAATCAATGTTCTTAGTGATCCATCAAGGATAAACTTAAATATAAGAGAGAGTAGAAGAGATAACCAACCTTAATGTGTGATCTTGATGCATTATGATGATATGAAATGATGAGGGATCTTAGGGGAAAAAATTATGGTATAGTAGTAAACTTGTGTTTGATGTTGGCCATTTCTTTCAGACTGACCTTCGACTACCCCATGTAAAATTATTCATGGAATAATCTCTCTAAACGAGTCCAATCATGGATAGAGTTTGTTGGGACTGTGTTGAACCACTTAAAAGAATTTTTTATGAGGGAACTGGGAAAATATCTTATTCTCAGATTTTAATTATTAGCAATGTCCCCCTCCTTGGTTAAATACCTTTCTATGTGTTTGACAGTGGATTCACTAGTATCACCAGAGAATTTTGTGAATTTTGGGACTTTCCATCCCCTAGATAATTTAGCCTGCAAGACGTACTCAGATAATGGGGATGCAGAGTTTGGTCCGTAAAGGCATGTGTTTACTCCATTTCACACCATAATTCATTCAACCATGGTAGCCAAATTATTTTCTCCCTCCATATCATCTTGTCAATCTCTATGCACAACTCCGTCTGCATCCTAGTTTTGATTTACCATCAGAATCCTTGGGGGTACTCTCTCCCTAGGTATTGGTTGTTCAACTCTACGAGGTTCGACCCTATTTCCATGATTGACTTTGTCTGCATTAGGTGTAAACTACTGGACCTAGTTAATGGTTGGATATTCTTCTAGGATTATTCCTCGGGTTTCTACCATCCATTCCCGTTGAGGTTATCAAACTAGCGCTTGTGGGGTGCCAAAGAAATCTGCAATTCGTTTCATCTGTGTTGGCAATTGCTCATTCTTATGAGAATTTTTCTTATTAGTTTGGATAGTATTTTGGATCAAGGGGTTGAATATTATGCCCATTTTTTGGGTAAGCATATGAACCATATCATGATTGCTTTCATCCATTTGTTGCCTTAATACTGTCGTAGAATATATAGTAAAAGTGAGCATTGGTTGGGTAGGAAATCGTGTCCCTAGAGGTTGAATATTTTTACCCAAGTTAATAACATCTTATCTCGACCCTTGCAATGACGAATAAGTACTTACCAATGGATCAACAAATGTTGACACACTATTATGCAAACTTGCCATCACTGAAGTTGGCATGCCATATGGTTGTTCACGGCCATTCATAGGAATCGTAAATCCAGGCATATATGGCCTAAAAGTACTAGTCCCTATTTATCTTGGGGTCACTGGTTTCCCCCGTGTTCTTATGGGCAATAATATTGGTCCACTTTGAGCGTTCAATGATATAGTTTCCGTACTCATTGTAGAGGGTATTGCTTCGATCATAGTTACTACGACCGTATTTACCCCTATTAAAGAGGGTTGTTCTCCATTGTTACTTGGTGGATTTATCGTCCTTCTAACATATTTCATTTTTGGTAATGGTTCATTATTTTTGGCTATCCTACCACTCCTCAATCTCATGCAATGAAATTTAAGAAACTTATGTATGAAGAACCAAATTCCGATATTTTTTTTCAAAATGACTAAGCACAAGGGTCCCACCAGGTGTGCCGATTTATTTACCTTGGATTTTGGTAAAGAACCGTTATTCTTCCAAAATTGATACTTTGATTACTCACGGGATCGACTAGATTGATCCTAGAACATATGTGCCTAGTTTGTTATGTTTTCTTGATGATTAACACTTGGACACTACTAAAGATCTTTAAAAGTAATAGCATGTAAAGACAATTTGTAAGAGGTGCATAAATGTAAAGTGTGAAGAATGTAAATTATTTCGACAGAATCTTAAATGAAGTCAAAATGACATTGAAAGTAAATGATTTTAACAATGAATGTAAATATGGTGATTCATACGTACATGTTACTCAAAAAACTTTTTCTCAACACACTTAGGTATTTTGAGTGATTTTGAGTTTGGTACAATTGAACACCTGGAATCCTAATATTAAGACCCCTATTTATACTATTTCGATAGTAATTGTCAAGAACGATCTTTTCTCCAGAAAATGATACGTTCTCGCTTGCATACAGTTATCATCCTTATTTCAAATATTTCTTTATCGAACATACTTTCAAATCAAGCCCAAAAAACCTTCTAAGTCCCAGCACAATACCATTTCGCAGGGCTGGGACTTCTTTGCCAAATACTTGGTCGAAGTATTCATTTGTCTCCTAGTAGAAATCACCTTGTCTTCATCAAATATTTTCTTCAGTTTTATTTGACATTCATATCTTCCTGAGCGTCGAAATTACAGCTAACACTAGGGAATTCACGAGATAGAAGAAAAGAGTATGCATAAGCCACATAATAGGGACCATTTTAGAATGGCTCCACCATCATTTATCAGGCTATGAGGAAGGGATAAAATCCCTAACTAAAACAAAAAGATCATAAATCAAAACCTGTTCAAACTAAAAAATGCAGGATCTTCTCCATTGAAGACCATAAACCCAAGTGTACCCCTCCCACTAACCTAACTCTTTGATGAAGCAATCTCTTTTATCAGATATAAAATAGAGCCTAGGGAACCTATATCGAAGAGGGATATCTCTAACCTAAGGGACTTTCCAGTACTTTGTGAGAAGACCAGAGCCAACTTTCTTAACCATAATATCCCGAAACTATTATAAGGGGTTCTCCCCTTTGGCACCAACAAAAGAAACCCCACTCATCCAAGGAGACATAGAGTGAATGTAAGTAGCTCTACTTCATGACACAAAAGATGTTAGAATAACTCCATATCTAGCAAACAAAATATGTCTCTAGATCCCAGAGTCTCCCGAGAGTAAGCGCCACCTCCACTTACCCAATAGAGCCATGTTAACCAACCAAAGTCACAAACACTAAGGCCTCCAAGCTTCATGGGCTTACAAACACCAGACCTCCTAACCCAAACGATCTTAAATCCCCCTCTGACGCCACTCTACAGAAACCTATTTTGAAGTTTCACTATCTTCTTCCAAACCTTAATAGACATTTTAAGAAAATACAAAAAGAAGATAGAAATTGCATTAAGAACAAAGTTAAGAAGAACCACTCGCCCTCCCAAAGAGACATACTTATGTCTGCACGAGTGAAGCCGTCTATAAATGAGACTAACTAAGGGTTTCCGGGTAGATGATAAACGAGGATTCGTCCCTACTAAGAGACCAATAAGATACTTAAATGGGAGGGGCTCTTGATGAGAATAAAGGAAGTCACAAGTTAGGTCAAGAAAAGGAGGATCGAAGTTCACCCTGATGAGACTGCTCTTAGCAAAGTTCACCCAAATGTCAAAGACTAACTAAAAAACACATAGAGGATAGCCTTGATAGACTAGAGGTTCTCAAATTATATATCTACTAGAATAATTGTTTCATTCACACACTGAAGATGAGAGGCCACCAACTCTGAAGAACTCGCTCAAAGACCAATGTAAATTTGTTGGTCCATAATCCTGGAAAACAACCTACTAGAACCTTGGCTAAAAAGAGAAAGAGAAAAATAGATTAGAAATTCCTTTGTTTGAACCCCTTTAAATACTAATTTTTTAAGTCTGGCAACCATTTGCCAAGAGCCCAAATTACCAGAGAAAACACATGTACGGATCCAACCTCTTTCACTTATTATTAAAATCAAAACAAGAGAGCTTCCAAGTCATATACTTCTTAAAGTCCACTTGCAATACTCTTCTTGATCATTTTGTAACACACACACTCCTTTATTTCTTTATATATTTATTTCATTAAAAAACACCAATAAGTCAAAGGATGATACAATATTTTAAACTTTTGACTCGATCACTGTTGGCAATTTTAAACTCGAATCGTAAGTTCTTAATTTTGTTTTAGTAATTTGTTTGTAATATGCATATCGTGCCTAATACGACATAGCATATTGATAAAGCTATTTACCTAACAATCAAAGGTCACCAATCTCTACTTTCCTCTTTTCATATTTCAACATTCTCTCTCTCCCTCTCCTTCACTTTAAGATAATATAATCAAACCCTATACACATAAGATATATATTCCCACAAGATCACTTTTCACCTTGTCATCCCCATCTTTCAATAACAAAATCCACATGCATATTCAATCCATGAGATCCCTTTTATTTTCTTGATTTCCATCCAAACCACCAACTTACACTTCTTGAATGATTCTTACAAGTTCCTTCATTTTGCATGGCTTGTGATGCAACATTTCCCTCTATTATTACTTGCATGACCCTCTTCTTTTCTTTGCTCTTAGCTTTTCACTTTACTATGGCTGTCCAAGAACACACTTTATCTTCCTCTTCTACAAAAGATGATACCAAGAAGAGGAGCAACAATATGGTAGCAACTTCAACAAATGAAGGAAGTACACAAAATTTCAAGACCAATATTCCTGATCTACAAAAGGGTCCTAAGGGAAGAAAACACTCAAGAGCTTCAAGGCCTTCATTTCAATGGAAAAACAAGATCTTCAATGATAGTGAACATGAAGTTCCTAGTGGTCCAAACCCCATTTCAAACAGGTAAATATATTATTCAATATATCATGGTAGTAGAAGAGACCTTAGAAGGGGGAATAATATAGAAGATAAATTTGGTTTGTGGTTTTTTAAAGCTCCTTATGTTGTTTTTCTCATTTTTGTAATATTTTATTATTATTTTGTTGTTCATTTTTTGTGTTCATTTATGCATAGAATTGGTTTGGGATTCAAAAACATGGAGTTTAATATATGTGAGTGTAGTTCTATTCTTCATATTATTATTGTTGTCATGAAACTTAACCACACGTACCAATCATTTCAAAATGAGGATATGTGTATATGAGATTCTATTTTCTGGTCATCATTGTGTTCATATATGGAGTATGTATATATTTGGTTTCTGCTTTTCAGATATCATCATCATCATCATCATCATCATATTTTTCTCATTTTCATTTTTTTAAATTTTTTTGGTTAAGTATTTATCATTTTGGTTCCAAAGTACAGAAAAGTTTATAGATCATCTGATGCATGTACTGATCAGTTCATTTTTTGAATAAATATTTTTTGATGTTCAAAGAAAAAACTAGCTAGTGAATAGTATCACATCTATAGATGAATTTTTTTTATATATACATGAAAGATCAAATTGAAAGTCTTAGTGAATTGTATCATATTATAAATGTTTTTAGGGTTACACGTGTTTCTTAAAAAAATTATAGAATATATTTTCATGATAAAATGAGTATCATTAACTAAAAAGAATTTAATTAATAAATATGTTATTGGAGTAAATAGCTAGGTTGAGAGTAAATAAATGCAATAGGATTTTTCAAACAAAGATAAAAATAAATGTATTAGCTGAAAAATAAAAATAAAAATAACACTTAATTAATATTTTAAAGAAAATATATTATAGGTAAAATAAATAGGCTCTATCAGCTCCTTTTTAATTTTATTTTATTTTATTTTTTTATAGAGAACTCTAAGTATGTTAGTTATATTAAATCCAAGATCATTTGGATTTGAACCTATAAATTCTTTAGGTCTCTAAAGTTGATAGTTATAATAAACTAATAAAATGTATAAATTATAATAACATATATATCGAATAACATATAAACTAATAAAAAAAAATTATAATAAAATTAAACAATAAAATTATATAAATTAACACAACAATAACATATATATCGAATAAGAGACTGACACTTCGAAAATAACAACTAAAAAATAATTAATCAAATATAATCCATGTCATATTAAGTTAATTATTAACTTTTATATATTCAATCAACCCTATGAGATGTATAGATTCATGTTTGGAAGTGGAACTAAAAGAAGGGTAGGTAACACTAATTGTATGTGATTTTGGCTACACCTTTGGTTTTAAGGGGTCTTGTCACTTTACTTTGTTACCAAGACTCAACTAAAAATTGCTTTGTAAGAGTATGGCTAGAGGATGTATTTGCAGAAAAAAATACATATAAAAAGAACTGTTATATTTCCTACTTTGCCAAAAGCAATCAAAGTGCCTTGACAGCTTTCCTTTTTACGACTGTTTTCTTTATTTGGTTATTTTGGTTTCCTTTTCAATTATGCCTTATCTCTTTTCAAGATTGGGTTTCTTTTTCTGGTTTTTCTTGGGTATGTTTTGATTTCACAAAAGGATCATTTTTTACTATGGTTTTTTTCTTGCATTGTTACGTCATGAATATTATACATCAATTTCAAAGTTGAAAATTATATTTATTTGGACGATGAGCAAATAAAATTGAGAAAATGAGTGATACACTATTTTACACTATCAACTAATCATGATCATGAATTTAATCATTTTAAACTGTTATTTTTAAAAAATTTATATAACAGAACGATATGTTTCTACTAGAGAACAGTATAAAAAAAATTTACAATATCGGTATATCTCTTTTAAACTCTTGTATTTATTAGCAATTGCTTAACTTAATTCTAAGTCTCAAATTTAACCGATGAATATGTGTTTATACATTTCAATTTCAATTTAAAATGATCTATCTTTAAAAGAGAGCATTTCTATGATCTACTATGGATAACATTTGTAAAATAGTTACAAATTAGCTTCACAATTCTCTAAGAACAGATCTTAATTTCTATCTTAATTTCTATCAAGTGGGAAAAAAATCATTCATTTAATAAAATCTCACTAACAAGTGTTTGTAACGTGTTTGCCAATCCACCAAAGAATCTCTTTCAAAAGCTTACAACTCTTAGACCTAATCTTTAGACATGTTTGAAACGTATCATAAGAGACAGAATAAAATATTTGTATCATATTTTATTTCAATTCATTGTTTAATGATACAATAATATATAATATGTTAATTTTAAAATTTATTATATTTTGTCTTACTAGTTTAATTTTGTATCTTAAATATGAGTTGAATTAAAATTTGATTGAATAGAATAAGAAAATAATTTATTAATTTACCTTTATAAAGTATAATTTTAAATAAAAAATTAAATATGATAACATATAAATCAAGATTAATTTGATATTAAATAAAAAAATATTAATAAATAATATTTCAAAAATATATATGATTTTGTCATAATGTAATTTTATAACACTATATAATATAAAAAAATTAAAAGATAATAAATTAGAATATTTAAAAATAAAATAACTATTAAAATTTTAAAAATATAAATACTAATTTTATTTTTTATCAAATTAAATATATTTTCGTGCAAAATTAAGAAATTTTGTAATATGTATCGCTATGAAATTGTGGCACATGCCTCGCACTCCACGCGCTTCACGCGTCAATCTATTTTCCTTGAGGCAGAATCGAAGTTAGAAAAATCCCATAGTATACATGCTTTGATAGTCCCTAATGGACGCCTTTGTGTGAGGCAGTGTTTGGGATAAAAATTTCATTCTTGTTCCTATGGAAAGAAGATATTTTGAGACATATACAACAAATCTCTATGTTGCTCTCGAATTGATAGTGATGTCAATTTAATCATCAACTACATTATTCCTCTCGTCAATCTTCAAATTACTCTTTAATAAAATTAATCAAGTTTAAGTAATGATTGAACATTGATCTAGAAAATGATTTGGTGAGTACGTCTTCTAAAATGTATTTCAAAGCAACACTTTTAACCACTTTCTTCTTTGATTTAATCATATCTCTAACAACGTGCAAACGAATGACAATGCAGATTGTCCTTTCATAATACATTTGATGATAAGTCAAATTGATATCATATTATCTATCATAATATATCTTCACACATTCTTGAGTAATTCCTAACTCCTCGCTCATATCTTTCAACCAAATTATTTCACCCCTTCAACAAAGGAAATATACTTTATTTGAGTTGTAGAAATTTCCAGGTTAGATTGCTAATTTGATTTTGATTTCTAACTAATAGTCGTCCTAAAAAATGTAAACACAAAACATGATAAGAATTTTCTAATGTTTGTATTTTCAGCATAATATGCATCTAAATATCTCTCTAAAGTGACTTCTTCTTGAGTTATTCTTGTATATTTTGAACCTCATTTCAATTTTTTATTCAAGTATCTCAAAACTAATTTCAAAGCTTCCCAAATGCACATTACTCATATTTCCTATAAACCGACTTACTATGCTATTTCATACATGATACTTCCAACTCCAATAGCATAAGAAGTATTCTCCATCTCTTTCTTCTCACCCTTAGATTGAGGATATTTTATAACCAAGGTTTTTATGTGATTGCACAAAGCAGTGTTAATAGTTTTAGCATCACACATCCTAAACGGCTTCACCACTCTTTTAAACTATCTATAATGAGATACGTGTTGAACATGTGACTCTATAGACAAGATGGGGTGAATTGTAGAGTTTGAAAATCATCGATTTAAAACAAAATAATTTACAAAATCAGAGTTTAAAAACATGTTATAAAAATGTTTGGATAATATGCAGTGGAAATTCAAATAAAGAAAATAACTCAAAAATAAAAGATACAGTGGAAGAGGAATAACAATAGAGAATTATACATGTTTAATCAAGAAAACTTAATCATGTTTCCAAGAATCGATCTTAAGAGTATCCACTATATTTAGAGGGTTACACTTATACAAGGAAATAAAGTTCCAGGATAACTTCTAACCAAACAACAAATACGGCTTGAAGTGGTTAGTCTTCAATCCAAACAACGAACATGGCTCGTATTGGCTAGTCTTCACACCAAACAAAGATTTTTCAAAGGTTGGTCTCCAACCAATGATGTTGTTTTGAATTGGCTATCCTCCAAATTGAATTATGATTTTATACGGGATGACCACGAACTGAACTGAGATTTTTACCAAGTTAATCTAGAACCTACTGAGTTTTTACATTGAGCTGAACTCAAAAACTAAGAGAGATTTACACTAGGATGATCTCGAAATAATAGATATTTTAACTAGGTTGGGCTCAAGAACCATTATGGGGATTTTCACTGGCTGATTTTCACGAACCAAAAGAGAGTTTTTTCAATGTCAGAGCTCACGAACCAAACAGACACTTACAGTAATCCCCCAAATACAAACAAGATCTTTTCTAAATGGTTTAGCTCCCAGCTAAAATGATAACTTTCAAATGAATAATTATTTACACAAGATAAAAACACTCTAGACTCAAGAAAAATATGTGAAAAAAGTTTAAAAGATATATGTCGTACCCCAAATTTGTCCTACCGCGACGACTATATGTTTTTGAGATTGAAATAAAGAAAATACTTAATTAAAGACGGTACAGCAGTATCTGGTGGTCCGTCTTTATCTGACTAGGGGGCGTATATTTTTTAAATTCAGGAAAGCAGGGCCTTTTAGATCAGAAAGACTCGCGTATCCGGGAATTCATTCGCAAGGCATGTTGGCCATTGGCCCATGTGATTCGTAGATATAAGTTATCGGAGTAACTATAAAGTTCTACATTATTAAATAGTTGTTAATAGAAGGGAGGTTGAAATCAAAATTAGGCCCGCTCAAGTTTAAATTGTATGAACTTAAATAAGTTAAGTTGATTT